GATAGCCAGGCAGCGCTTAAGACAATTCTGTAAAGGTAAATTCTAAGCTATAAAAATACAAATGTTAGGAAAAAATAAAGTGAAATAATTGATATGCCAGATAAGTTTTTAAAGCACAATATTTTTATTAACTATCTAAATGATAATAATGAATACAGAACTGTATTTTCGCTATGTTGAATAAAGCTATTGTTTAATTTATTTCTAATAAATACTGCTGAAATTACTGCAGTTCCACCCGTACGTCGCATATTTTCGGTAGGCATTTTTTATTGTCTTGCAAATTACGAATTTTTACTCTTCGAGTAAAAGAAGAGTTAATAGTTGATTATCAGAAATATAAAGACTTGAATTTTGAAAACTTCTTCTGACTTGAAGACCAAAACATCAAAGCAGTTCAAAGTTTACAGTTGTCGTTAGTTTACATTGTACAGTAGGATGTTTCAGTCTCCAATTTGTAAACCACAAAAATTTGTATTTTAAGGAAGACTTTCGACCTAGAGGCCGCCACTTCTAATAAAGTATTTCAAATTATACAATTGTGGTTAATTACCATTATAGTAATTACAAAACGATAATGTTACAAGAAAATACCTTTGGAACAATAAATTTAGTCTGCTGCTAATTTGGTCGAAAATCTGAAATTTTTCTTGTTCATACGTCGGCTTACGGCCAAAACAAGTTGACTCCACTTTTTAAACTTTTGACAAATCTACGTTTTAAACTTTAATTTGAAATGAAAAATTGTCTGATTTTTGCAGCACTTGTCGGGTTTTTGCTGCAAAGTTAGTTACCTTTAACGTATGCTTTGTTAATACGTTAGCAGGTGGCATTCGGAGCAAACATAATAATTTATTGAATTATTTTATTATAATATAATTTGTTTAATAAAATATAAATAAGAAAAAATATTTTGTTACGCAGACGACGCAATATTGATAGCCCAAGATGAAGATAGTCTGCAAAAACTAGGCCACAGATTTAACATAAGAGCAAAAGAATTTAATATGACAATCTCATTTCAGAATACAAAAACAATAGTAATCAGCAAAGAACCAACTAGATGTAAAACAGAAATTGATGGCATCAGTATTGAACAAGTAATGGGAATAAAATTACACTGTCCAGCTATGGATATAGTATGAACTTACACTGCCCAGCTATGGAGACCTCGTAAATAAGTGAGAGATTAAGTACAAAAAGCAAATAGACTGACAGGATGCCTTAATAACACTATATGACGAAACAGGCACATTAACACCGAGATGATGTCAAGAATTTATAAAGCCAGTGTAAGACCAATAATGACATATGCCTCAGAAACAAGACCCGACACAGCCACAAGACAAAGGCTACTGGAAACGGCAGATATGAAAGTACTGAGAAGAATTACAGGAAATACGCTGAGACATCGAAAGAGAAGTGAAGATAGAAGAAAATGTAACGTATTGTGTATAAACAAATGGAACTCAATAGTAAAAAAGAATGGAATAACTACATAAGTAGAATGAGGGAGACCCGTGTCGTTAAAATAGCAAGAGATAAGTCAACAATCGGCAGAAGTATCCGACGACCGGGCAAAAGATGAAGTGACAACCTTCCACAGAGGTATTAATCCGCCAATATATACATCAATATATATATATATATATATATATATATATATATATATATATATATATATATATATATATATATATACAGTAGACTCCCTCTATAACGAGAACTGAAATGACAGACTAATTAGCTCGTTATATAAAACATCAATAATACTGCATACAATGTGATATAATAGAAAAAAAAAGACAGAATCAAGTCACTTTTGTGAAAGATATAAAATGTTAAAAGAACAATATTATAAAATACGAACAGGGTTCCAAAATAGCACTGATATTATCTAATAAAAGACATTACTATTATTTATATTTAACTTTATTAACAGATTGACTGCCATGTGCACCATATGGTGTACTCTATCATATCCATAAGCATTTGGGAAAATCTGTAGTGATAAGATTTTATAATAAATTTTGTGGAAGTTTTGAAACCAAAGTTTTCAGTGTTTTATTGATATATAAAATGAATTTCCATCAAGTAACGGTCGAATCCATCACTTATAAAAAAAAGTTAATATAATATTCGACAATAATTTCATAACAATTACCTGGCAAGAACAGTGCATTTGCTACTCTTCGTGGATCAGAGGGGTCAGTGCAGTCATCCCTTTCTATATTACTCAACGCGTCGTCATTATTCGCTGTAAAATTGGGTTCTAAATCACTATCATTAAACTCACTTTCACTTCCTATAGAAGGCGTAGGAATCTCTCTGTATAATCGTAACACACGTTCAGTTTCTCGTTCATCCAGCTTGCTAAACCTTCAGTCAACTAACAAGAGCTAATATTCCTATAAATAGTTCAACACTTGCAAGATCCGACCGCATCAACTCCGTGGCGAATCGGGATGGACAATGTCAAATTAAATTAGATTTGTGAAGCCATGAGTACCACATTGGTGCACATACTATATTTGTTGTCCGTTGCAAAAAAATACCATAGAAGACTCAAAATAATATATCGATAATCAAATATTTAAATAAAAAACTGATTTAACAAACAATACGGTACGGCCCCCAGGACCGATATACAAACTTAATATACTGCTGTGTACACAAACTTAAATGTGGCGACTGTCCAAAAACTTATGTAGGTCAAAGCGGTAGAACTTTTAACACACACGTAGCAGAATATAAGGACTATTAATAATAGAAAAACAGATTCTACATATGCACTTCACCTTCTAGATTATAATTATACTTTTAATGACGAATTTCAAATTCTTCATATTTAAAATAAAGGCCGCTATCTTTATTAGAATTTATGGAAATTAAATTTAAAAACACAGACATAATCCTGAATAACTTGAGACAAACAGTTCTCCCGTCCTCAACTTAATTCGTTAAAGACTATAAAGTGTAAATACATACCAAAAATTCTCCGAATGTTAAAAGATGTTTTAGTGCAACAATGGATTCTCACTAACAATGAAGAAACTTGCACATGTCTTGGATTGGTATTATGGATGGGACTTTACCAAATGCTATCAATTTCACATTACTGGAAAAAAGATAACTATTTGTTGACCATTAAAGTAAGCGACTGCATATCAAGAAACCGATTTGAACTGTAACTTAGTATGGTACATTTCTCTGACAATTCAAAAGCACCTGAAGGCGATAGAATACATAAGGTCCAAAACATAATTGATGTGATATTAAAAAACTTTAATATTGCTTTCTGCCCAGCCCAGTATGTACGTATTGATGAATCTATAACTCCTTTTTTGGACTTTCTTTCCGTCAATACATTCAGAATAAAAAGCATCGTTACGGAATAAAAATATTTAAAACTTTGTTCTGAATCATACTATACGTTGCAATTTAAAACATACGGCGTAAAAGAAGCAGTGGATGATATGACAGTATCAGAGAATTATGTATTTAATGGCTCTTTATTTAAATTTTGGACGTACATTATTTACTGACAACGTTGGTACACGGGTGTACCAATCACACAAAAGTGGAATTAGCTTGTTTTGTATAACAGTAATATATTCTTAGTATATATTACTGTTAGAATAAACATGTTATTATTTTTAACAAGAATGCGTGTTATTCGCTTTTGCCCTATTTTTTGCATTAGTTTAAAAATTTTGCATTTAAAAATAAAATAAATAAAAAACACACACATACCACAAGGTACCGTTCTGGTGCGTTTTGGTATGTCTGTTTTAATCTCTCTGATTTCCAAAAATGCTTCTTATTTGACGCTGAATTTTCTCTAGATTAGCTTTGATTTAAGAATGTCAACAACCTGTTTCGGAAGTACTTTAGCTAGTTTAATATTAATCTAATACGCTAGACTTTGTGAAATGCTTTCGAAATATTAGTGAAAATGTCTGAACAACTTAATTTGTCTTCATAAACTTTATCGATAAAATCAATAATACTTTTAGATTAGGAACTAGGAATTAAGAATTTTTCTGTGAATAAAAAGGTATGGTCTCTATAATAATGGCAAATAGTTTTGATCTGATTAGTATATGATATTGGCCTATAAGAGAAGATATGATTTAGTGACTTTCCTGGCTTTGTTATCATTATGACTTTAGCTAGTTTCCAAGCATTTGGTTTCAAGATAAGTTTCACCACTGTTTTTTGGTTAAACTTCTAAAAATGTCTTCTGTTTAATATCATAAACTCACGCTTTTTTGGTTGACGTTTGTCTTGATTTAGTTAGCTACTTTGCTGGGGGTTACTGGTCTGGTAGTAAGCTCCAGGTTTAATTGCTCCAATTTTGGATCAATATCTCCAAAGCTTTTCTGATTTTGATCTAATCGAAAAGTTTCTACTAGTTGGGCAGCGAACGTAGCAGCTTTCCGTTGGTTAGGTATTTTCTGTTCTTTTAATAGGGGAACAATGAACGCATATTATTTTGTAACTTTTTAGTCGCTTTCTAAAGCGACTCCAAAGTTTCTTTTTTAGTTTTTACTTTCGCTAGGTTTATTTGAATCGATCCTTCTTTATGCAACAACATTTTCTTTCTTAGTTTTTGTGGCATTATTCTATTCTAGTGTATTCTTATCATCAGATCTTGTCAGCCGATATTCTTTCGCATTATTTTTCTTTTCAGCCATCAGTTCTCTTATATAGGATAGTTGTCTTGAACTGTTAATCTTTTTATTGTGGTATTATATATAAGCTTTATGTTGCTTGCCCAATTTCCACTATAAATTTTCCTAGTTCTTCCTCTAGTTGATCTCAATGTTATCAGAATATTACGTTGTATGGTTTTCTCCATATCATCTTTAAAGCTTTCCCAGTCGGTTTTTCTATTGTTTAACGTTGAGTTTTACCCTTTTAATGACATGTTAACTAAATGTGAGGGTAACCGCTGAGTATTCTGAATCCAAGTCAAAGTTCTCTTCTGTTATTAGTTTGTGGAGATTGTTGTTAGCAGGAAAAGTCCAACAAAGCAGGTATTTTATTTTGTTATGTTGGGTAATACTTAGGTTTTCCAGTCGATACACATATACATTAAAGTTCTGTACCAGCTTGATGCAGTTATTTTCCTTTGACTGTGGTTAATTTTGAGTCCCATGGTTTTTGTTCGCTTGCTCATAGTTCTGAAGAAGTTTTAGCCAAAGAAATGGGATTTAGGTTTTTCTGCTTCTTTTTTTCCATTAATTGTTGTTTTCCATTTTACTTCATTGTAAATTTCTTCAGAGTTTTATAGCCAGTTTTTCTTCATGTGTTTCATACAGAATTATATTAAATAATAAATCATTATTTTAGTAAAATTATAAGTCTTATTAGTTTCTTCTTGTTTGTTATAAATCATAACAAATACGTAAATTTTGCGTTGCCATTTTTACAAAACATGTTCGATATTTTCTAAACTGGTAATTCACTTAATATTAATTTCCTAATATAATCTTATTTTGTTTCTAACATGCAGTGTGTCTGCTACGTAGATGATATAGAGGATCGGGCCAAGTACACTCCACTGAGGCACGCCAGACCTTAGTGGGTGTAGAGTTGTAGTTTTGTCTTGATACCTTACTTGAAAGTGTCTATTTTGAAGGTAGGATTTGAGAATAAGGAAAATGTTGTTCGGTAAGCAACAGTTTTTTCTCATTTTGTATAATAGTCCATCGTTAAGTGTTTTCATCCTTGCACTTTCTAACATCCTTTTTGCCCTACCCGTGTCAGGTCGTGTTTCTTTCGCGTATGTCATTATTGGCCTGATGACTATTTTGTAAATTCTGTCTTTCATTTCTTTCCCGACATTTTTATTTCTCCACATTGTTTCATCCAGGCAGCCTGTGGCTCTGTTTGCTCTATTCACTTGATCTTCCACTTCAGTTTTGAGCTATCCCTAGCTAGATAATGTGATGCCTAGATATTTCAACTCACTTGTTAAATCACTTATTCTATTAGCTGACCTTCCAGCTCCAATTTAGATCTTAATAAATTTGCTTTTGTAACCATGGATTTTGTCTTTTTTGGTGAAATTAACATGTTAAATTTTCTGGCGGTTTTATTAAATTGGTGAAGCATACGTTGTAAATTGTCTTCACTTTAAGAGAATAGTATTGCGTCGTCTGCATAGCAGATTATTTTAAGTTGTTTTTCTCCCATTTGGTATCCTTTTTTAGTTCTGACTTTTCTTATTATTTCATCCATAATCAGGTTGAACAATAGAGGACTCAGGGTATCTCCCTGTCCTATCCCATTGCCAGCTTCAATTGGGTTGATTCGTTCTTCTCCCACTTTTACTTTTATTGTGTTGTTTTGGTAAATATTTTCAATTGTTTTAATCATTCCTAGAGGTATCTCTCTTGCGTAAAATAAGTGGATAACGACTTTTAATTTGACCTGGTTAAATACCTTCTTAAGGTCCACGAAACATAGATATATACTCTAAATCCAAATTGATGATTAGAAATTAATTGATTTGCTTTCAGAATTGGTTCTATTTTCTCTACAAGTAATTTTTCTAGTAACTTGGCCACAACAAAGAGGCCACAGATAGGATGTTGTTTGTTCAGCAGGTTTTCCTGGGTTAGGGATTAGTGTAATTTGGGCTTCTGTCAAATGGAATAATTGTCCTGCACTTAACATCTCAGTCCATTTATAAATGTATTTTAACCAAGAAACGTGTTTTCTTCCTCCACCTCTACAGCCTTCTATTTTGCCTTTAGGGACCTTTTAATATGTTAATCTAATTTGGGCTACCTTCCACAAAAAAAAGCGGAAAGTATTCCGTCCTTAAAACAGCATTGTATATTTGTGTTAAATAGACAAAGTCCCTTGTGGACCAAAGTCCCTTGTTCGAAAGTTCATTCAATTTTAGCACTAATTAATGCAAACTTGTGCCTTAGTTAACGGCACCATTTTAAAAAAGTAGTTCCAGTTGATATGGAGTTTGCAGAAATGCTTTCACTTTATCTCCAACGTCGAAGTTATTTTCAGCGGGATATGGATGGAAGAATTCTAAACGTAGCCCTGTATATTTGAAAATATTTTTATACTTGACCACCAATTTTTATACTAAAACCACTAATATTCTTTAGGTTAAAGATGTAGTTAAAAACGAGCCAGAAAAAAAATCGCCCGGAATATATAATCCCTCAGCTTACTATATAAAGAAGGTAACCACGATACCATAATGGCACTACAGCAGCTCATAAAAGAAATATGGACACAGAAATCCCTCCCCAGTGATTCGAGTATTAAAATACTTTGCACCATACACAAAAAAGGAGATACCTTTGAATGTCTTAACCACAGAGGAAATAACGCTTCGAATGCAGCGTATAAAATATTTTCCACAGTGTGCCACTGTATGGCACCATATGCAGTACGAATAGTAAGAAAATACCAGGCTTGTTTCAGATGTAGTAAATCGACAATTCATCAGATTGCAACCCTGAGACAAATTTTAGAAAAATCAGCGGAATATGGCATAGCTACTCATAACATATTTATAGACTATAAAGCAGCTTACGACTCTGTCAATAGAAGAGAAATGTCCAAAGCAATGATAGAGCTAGGAAAACCAAATCAGTTGGTAAATTTAACAAAACTAACTATTGAAAAAGCTGAATATGGAGTACGAATCCAGGGTGAACCGTTTGAACCATTTAAAACAAATATCGGGCTGCGTCAGGGAGACCATCTCTTCTCTATACTGTCAAGTATGCCTTTGAAAAAAGTAATCGTATCTCATAAATCACAACCACCGGTTCAATATATAATAAATCAGCGCAAATCCTTGCCTATGCTGATGATATTAATATTGTTGGAAGAATGGAAAACGCTGTACTTGAGGCATATGTAGCACTAAGAATTAGCTACAAAAATGGGTTTAATAATAAATACCAACAAAACGAAGTTTATGAAAATAAGCACGCAACCACAAATCCTACATTCATAAGACAGAAATTCATGAGGAGGCTAGGACCGACGCAGTGTTGTAAAGCCAGAATGATAATAATAATTATTATTTCTAGATGTTTTAAATATGATTATTTCTGGCATAAAGTTTTTTCTGTTAAATGTTTATAGAGCAAAAACAAATACATATAATTCCTTCTATAAAGTATAATATCACTTAAAACAAAAGATTAAATTGTATTCACAACCTTAGCACATCAAAATTAACAAGTTATTTTGATAAATCTACCTATATTACAAAATTTGTTTTTAAAAGCTACTTACACTATCTTTATTCTGTGCTTTTCTTATTTGTGCTGTATTTGCTTGTTGCCTCTGTGAGTCCAGATCAGGAGCGCTGCTCCAGTGGGTATGCCCCATCATTCTGTCATCATATAAAGAAAATCTTGCAGATTCAGTTGCAGCTTTACCTCTAGTACGACGCACTGAAGGTGGTACATCACCAGGGGTTTTAACCCTTTGAGAAGGGTCTTTCAGTCTTGACAGATCACTGGTTGAAGAAAATACCTGTGATATAGATTGTTTTAATTGTCTTGAATTAATTTTATTATTTAATTTCTATTCAGAGAGATGATAAACTTGTTCAAACCGTTCTTTTAAAACCATAGTTTAGTATTGCTTTAATTGGTACACAAATACACAATACGATTTTTTAAAACTAAAATTACGAATTTTTTTTGACCACAACTCATGTTTTTATTACTTTACTAGTTTTGTATCTTTTTGTAAAAAGTACAATTTTCTATATCTAACAACAGGGACAAAGATTAAATCAAATAATTTGTTATGATAAATGGGATCAAGATGTGTAATTTCTGCAAAGGTGATCAGAAAATGTAAGAAAATGATCATGACATAGAAATATGATAGATAAAATACTTAACGGGTTTACACATTTTTTTAATAAAACTTAAATTAATACATATATATATATATATATATTATATATATATATATATATATATATATATATATATATATATAGAGAGAGAGAGAGAGGGCTAAGATTAATACTATTATACAAATTATTATTTACCTAACCAGACTTCCGAGTTGAACCGCGTTGATTTTCATTGCGCCGAGCTTTCGACATCCTCTCTGATGTCTTCTGCAGGGCTTCCGAGGTCTCAGTCTCTCGAGCCTCCAGACACTACTACACTGATCAATATTCACTTCACTACTTCCATTGGGAACAGGGGACGGTTTATTTTTACCGTCGATGGTGACGCGGCCTGGGTGGAAGTTCATTTCCGACAGTGGGATTTTGATTCGAAGAAGGAGGGGCGGTATTTTCTTTATGCGAGGTCTCCATATAGAAGGTAACCGTATGGCGTCATCTCTTTTATTGAGACAATTTGTCCTTTTTCCAATTTCTATGGGTTCTCGGATAATTCTTGGTTTATAGAATCGGATGGTGGCTATGGTTCTGAAGTTTTCAAAATGAATTTTGTGACCTGTATGAAGATGGTTTTAACCTAGAGCTGAAATTGAATCGGAATTGCGAACAGAAATGGAATGTTCATAAATCCTATTTTGGACTCTACTTATTGTTTGGCCTATATAGGATCGGGGACAGTCTGCATAAGGAATTTCATAAACTCCGTGTTATTCATTTGGAATGTTTTTTTTCTATTTATCGGACTTATAAATCAAGAGGAAGAAAAACAATATTTACCCCCCAACAAAAACTTTCATCTCTTCGATCAATCAAAAACAACATTCCAAATGAACAACACGGAGTTTATGAAATTCCTTGTGCAGACTGTTCCCCCTCCTATATAGGCCTCACAAATCGTAGAACCCAAAAGAAGATTTATGAACATTCCATTCCTGTTTGCAATTCTGATTCAATTTCAGCTCTAGGTCAACACCATCTTCATGCAGGTCACAAAATTTTGTGTGATTTTGAAAACTCCAGATCCATAGCCCCCATCAGCTTCTATAAACCAAGAATTATCCGAGAAGCCATCTTCTTCTTAAAGTGCCTATCCGTTCCGGATGTTGGCGATCATCACGGCTATCTTTACTTTATTTACTGCAGCGCGGAACAGTTCAGTGGTGGTCGTGTTATACCCCTTTCGTAAATTTTGAAGCCAGGAAATGCGTCTTCTTCCCGGTCCTCTCTTACCATTTACCTTCCCTTGAAGAATCAGCTGGAGAAGGCCGTAACGTTCTTGATTTCTCATTACATGTCCTAAATATTACAACTTTTTAGTTTTGACGGTCATGAGAATTTCACATTCTTTCCCCATTCTACGCAGGACCTCCACATTAGTAACTCTGTCAACCCAGGATATACGTAAGATACGCCTATAACACCACATTTCGAAGGCTTCGAGCCGATTCATAGATGCAACAGTCAGTGTCCATGCTTCCATTCCGTAGAGCAGAACTGTGAATATGTAGCAGTTCAATAGACGAGAAGCCATAGAAATTGAAAAAAGGTCAAATTATCTCAATAAAAGAGATGACGCCATACGGTTAACTTCTATATGTAGACCTCTCATAAAGAACATATCGCCCCCTCCATCCTCGAATCAAAATCACACTGTCGGAAATGTCGTGCCAACTCCTGTGCCAATCCCCTAACCCCACGCCAACTTCCAACTAGGCCACGTCACCATCGACGGTATAAATGGACCGTCCCCTGTTCCCAGTGGCAGTAGTGACGTGAATATTGATCAGTATAGTAGTGTCTGGGGGCTCGAGACTGAGACCTCGGAAGCCCTGAAGAAGACATCAGAGAGGATGCCGAAAGCTCGGCGCAATTAAAATCAACGCGTTTCAACCTCGAAGACTGGTGAGTTTAATATTAATTTGTATAATAGCATTAATCTTAGCTATAGTTTTAATTGTACTAACCGCGGAAATATTTCCGAATATATATATATATATATATATATATATATATATATATATATATATATATATATATATATATATCCTAAACTATTAAAAAGGAGTTTTGGCTATATTTTGTATGAGATTATTTCAATCTTAAACAACTCCAAACAACAACCAAAAATTAACGTAAGAATGCTACAAAACGAAGAAATAAAAAACGAAATAAAAAATAATGTAAATGTTAATATGCAAAAAACACTAACTGACAACAAACAAATTATGGATGTAAATAAAAAGTGGTGTAATATAAAAAACACATTACTGAAACCAGCTCAAGAAAGTTTAATAGAACATAAATCAGAGGCTAAAAAACACTGGATGACAGAAGAAATACTATTACTGATGGAAGAAAGAAGGAAATATAAAGGAAAATATCTACAGAAGTATAAAGAAATACAACGAATAATTAAGGAAAAAATCAAAACAGCTAAGGAAATCTATTTGATGAAGCAATGTAAAGAGATAGAAGAACTAAAAACAAAATATGATATGAGAAATATGCACAAAAAAATTAGAGAAGTGACTGGAATGGGTCGAAATAGACAGCAAGGACACATAAAAGACAAAAAAGGAGTACTACTAGTAGATTTACCAGAGAAGTTAAGGCGATGGGAGGAGTACGTTAGAGAACTTTTCCAAGATGAAAGAGGTGAAATGCAGAAAACACAAGAATTAAATCCTTTAGAGATACAGAAGATCACGATAGATGAAATCAAATATGCTATCAAAAACTCTAAAGACAATAAGGCAGCTGGATTAGATGAAATACCAGTAGAACTGTTAAAACTAGTGGAAGAGGACAACTTGGAAGTATTGGCAGATTTATTCAACACGGTGTACGATACGGGAATAATACCACAGGAGTGGCTAAAGTCAGCATTTATAACCATCCCTAAAGAACAAGCAGCAAAAGAGTTCTCTGATTATCGAACACTGAGCCTCATGAGTCATACTTTAAAAGTTCTGCTAAAAATAATACATAAGAGAATATACGAAAGGCTAGAGGAGGATATTAGCGAGACGCAGTTCGGGTTCCGAAATGGAATGGGTACTCGAGAAGGACTATTTGCCATTAACATATTAATTCAGCGATGTCGGGATGTAAATGTTGATCTACACTTGTGCTTCGTTGACTACGAAAAAGCTTTCGATAAAGTAAGACATGAAAAACTAATATCAATACTTATGAACAAGCGCATTGACAGTAAAATCATAAATATAGTACAAACATTATATTGGAACCAAAGTGCCATAGTTCAAATTGATGGGCAACAGTCAGAAGAAATGAGGATCTGTAGAGGAGTTAGACAGGGATGTGTGTTATCACCACTTTTGTTTAACTTATATTCTGAAGAAATTTTCCAAAACACGCTCAATAATATCGAAGCGGGAGTCACCGTTAACGGAAAATTAATTAATAATTTAAGATATGCAGACGACACTGTGATCATAGCAACGAGTATAGAGGATCTACAACATCTTATCGAAAGCTTGAGTATAAATTGTGCTGAGATGGGAATTACTATAAACACTAAAAAAACGAAGTACATGCTGATTACAAAAAGGGCACAAAATATACATCACCTATTGACAATAAATGGTAACGTGATAGAACAAGTAGAAAAATATCAGTATTTGGGAACTTTGATCAATGAAACCAATGATCATACTGTAGAAATAAACAGGCGAATAGAGATTGCCAGATCAGCATTTATACGAATGAAGCCACTCCTAACGTGCAAAAATCTAAATTTATAGATCAGACTACGTACCATTCGCTGTTATATATTTTCAATATTATTATATGGAGCTGAGACTTGGACATTAAAAAAATGTAATTTAAAAAGAATCGAGGCCTTCGAACTCTGGTTATACCGCAGATTATTGAAAATATCATGGACTGATAGAATTACAAATAAAGAAGTACTGGAGAGGGTTGGTAAAGAAACAGAACTAATCACCACTATACAAACCAGAAAACTGGAATACCTAGGCCACTGTAGCGTTTACGCTACTGATTAATCAAGTGTCCAATTTAAAATCGTGGTCACTAAACCCCTCAAGAAATTTCTTTTGACCCGCCAGCGTTCGATTTTACATCGACCTTTCTCTACTCACGCGCTGGAGTGGCTTTGAAAGTGGGGACCGATGGATTTTGCAAAGGTGCCGGCAGTTATGGTCAAAACTCAGACGTGATAATACGCCAGTCAATCCAAGTGACGGAATTGGAACAAATAAAAATAATCTAGGAAGAATAAAATAATATTCAATTAAGTAATAATAATATCTCAGTAAATGTATAAAAATAATTAATTTAAAAAAAAAAAAAAGCAAAATGATTTAAGAGTTCCAATTAAAAAAGGAAGATTTTTTTGGCGTGTCACGTTCTCCAGTAAGTATATTATTTCATACTTATTACCTCTTTATCATCCACTAAAATTCATGGCAGTCATTGCAGTGTAGTATTTCCTAGAGATTTATTTTTAAGTTCCGAAATAATTTAAATATAAAATTTCCTTGATTTACTTGCCAAGAACAGAAGGTCATTTTTTTTATATAGTCAAACTTAAATTCTGTTTTAGTCCACGTCGTTATCATTAAGT